AATTAATATATATATATATATTTGATCGTCTAGAAAAAAAAAATTTAAATAAAAAGAAGAAGGGAACAAACGAACAAAAAATTATATGTTTAAAATAAATTCGAATTTAATTCGTTTTACGTACAACATCATTGTGTTGTTAGTTGTTCAATAAGAATTATTGAATGGACGTGTAATCTGAGATTGACAATAGAGAGAGAGAGAGAGAGAGAGAGATATAATCAATTGTTTAGTGCATGCAATAGTATATGACGAAGTGTGACGTCATCGATAAAATGCGATTATCTTCCCTTTTTTATTTTTCTTTCTCTTAAATATCATTTATTCGACCTTGCTGCTTTTATATCCATTTTTGTATGAATTTTTGAACATTGTTATATCTTACAATTATTTTTATGGGGGCTGGAGAGGAAGAGGAAAAAATTTTGGAAAGATATTTTAATCAAATATGAAGTTTTCACGACAAACATGTAAAAATACTTTTTTTTCTTTTCAATTTATTATTATTTTTAATTATATTCAAAGATTTTTTCTACCAACACACCCTTACCCCCTCGTAATTGGGTTGTTGAGTTGAATTTGATCGAAATATTCGCGAATATTTTGAAATACAAAAATCGTCGTTAACTCCCTCCTCCTTTCCCATGGTAAAACCATAAGAAAAATCTCTTCGTAGAAAAAAGAAATATATTTTTGTTCTTTCAAGATATATTTAATCTTGAAGGAAAAATAAATAAATTCGGGAGAGAATTTTTCATTAGACTTTTTTTTTCTTTTATTTCCATTTTCATGCACAGTTTGATCATTTTTATTTTTAAAGATATGATTTGAAAAATATTCGAAAGGAAAAACTTTGTCCTAAAAGTAAATATCTAAAATTATTCTATAACATGAGACAGTATATATAGAATATTTTGTTTTGTTTTGTTTAAACAACAAAGTAATACGAAGTTAGGTACAATAAAAAGGGGAACGAACGAATGGGAATCAAATTTATAATAAACTGTAACTAGAAACGAGATAAAAGCATTCGCGGGAAAGGAATTTGCTGTTTGTGTACTTGATCCTTTTTCTTTTACTCTGCACATAAGCAGCAACAGCAACAGCACAGCCATGATCTTTCAATCGTAGAATTATGATGCAATCAAATTAACGAATAAAAATGCATTCATAAACATTAATATAACCCAACGATAAAAATAAGAAGAAGAAGAAGAAGAAAAAGGACAAAAGTAAAAATTAAATTAAGTCCAGTTGAAGCTTAAAAATTATGCATAAGAATAAAAAGAACATTAAGAAAGAAATCAATGTAGAAAATAAATATTAATATAACCCAATGGATAAAAATAAAAATAAGAAGAAGAAGAAAAAGGACAAAAGTTAAAAAAATTAGATGAAGTCTAGTTGGAAGCTTAAAAATTAATAAATATAATAAAATAAACACGAAGAAATAAATAAATGTAGAAAATAAAACGTAAGCTCGTGTGTGCTTTGATTGTTAAAAAGAAAAAAAAGAAACCTAAGTTTGAAAAAAATAAATGAACAATAAAATATATATATATATTTAAATATTTGCTTACCGTTATTCATTTCAGAATTGACGATGTTAATTTGATTCGTTAAATCATCCGCAAATAATCTACGAAGTTCCTCGTCCAAACTCGAATTCAATGGATAATAACTATTATCTGGTACTTGTAATATTGGAAGTTTCACCAATAAGAAAAATTTCAATTTAGTTTTATCGGACATCATATTGTTATGATTTTTTTCTCTCAAGAAATATTTGCCTCCAAAAATAAAAAGAAAATTTGATTGGATTTGAATTTTCTTTTGTTTTTTCTTTTTCTTTTTCTCTTTCTATCCTTTACGAAATTTTTTTTTTTCGTATTCCCGTTTATATTTCCGCGTGTTATGTGTTGGTTGTGTGTGTTTTACGTTGCACGTACAATTTGTATGTGTATTTTTTATTTGTTTTTTTTTTTTTTTTAGGTTTATTCTTACAAAACACGTAATTATTAAGTTTTACAATCTATGATTTAAAGTTTATAACACGTGTACCGTGTGTGTGTGTAAAAAATATTAACGATAATAATAATTATCGACGCGAACTTGTAGAATATTTTTGATATACTAAACAGAAACTAAAGATTGAAGTACTGAGAAATCGTGAGAAGAAGAAAAATGTCTCTATGGTGGGGAGATAAAGATACGTCGTGGTTGGGCCTATAAAGATGACGTAGAGAAGTAGAGGGGGTGGGGATGGGGGAGGGAGTTGTAAGGGAATCCAAACGAGCGGCCCCATTTGATATTTCAATCTTAACAATCATTTTTATCGGTTTTTCTTTTCTTTTTTTTTTTCTCTTTTCTTTCCAATTTTTAATATCCCCCTTCTTACGCGCAAAAGTTCAATTTGTTTTTCGGTTTTTTTTTTTTTTTTTTTTTTTTATATTTTCAATAATACACATCGTCTAATTTTTTATATACATATATATATATAAGTATAATAAAAATGTTTTTTTTTTTTTATAGAAATTAATAATAAATATGTATAATAATTTTATTTCAAATATTATTATTATTAATAAACTTTTCGATCTTAATTTTTAATATTTAACCTACGTACAAAATGAATATTCATTAAATTAATTGTTATATTTTAATTGAAAAATAAATTCAATAATTTAATAAAATATAAATAAATTAATCCCCATCCAATTATAAAGTTATTAAAAGAAAATATAATAATAAGTATAAATATATATATATATATAACGTGTACGATTAAATAAAAACAATATGGGGTCGTACAATTGCGCGCGGTATCACATATCATGATTTCTTTTATCTCTTTCTCACAATTGTTGATAAAGACAAAAAAGAATGCATTAATTATCAAGAAAAAAAAAAAAAGAGACAATAATGGTGGCAAAGAATAACAGTTGACAAAGTGGGGGTAGGAAGGGCGACGGGGAGGGGGTGCTTAGAGAATTATGTAAATAACAAAAAAATATAATACGGGAAGATGAGAAAAGAAAAAAAAAAAAGAAAAAAAAAAATAAAGAAATGATCGAAATAAAAATCCAATTTGCACTAATCTTCATCTTTATTGTTACTGTGTAAATATGTAGGCACTGAACAAATAATGTTTCATAATTTGTTTACAAACATTTACATTTACTGATCTTTGTTGTTGTTGTTGTTGCTGTTGTTATAATTATTATTATTATTATTATTATTATTATTGGTATTTCTTGTTGTTGTTGTAGTTGCATTATCATTTCATACTTTTTCATTTTTATTTTTTTTTTTTTTTTTTTTTTTTTTGTATCATTTCCCGTTTTATTATTTTGTAGTTTTCTCTGTCCGTCTTTCTCTCCCTTCTTGTGTTCAATCAATAAATGATTATTATTATTATTATTATTAATATTAATATTATTATTATTATTATTATTATTATTTATTTATTTTAATTATTCTCTGCTAGCAGGGCTCTCGACCATTGGATGAGTCAAAAGTCCTACTTTTATTCCATTTTTCTTTCTTACATACACACGCACACGCACATATCGTAAACCCCATCATCATCATCCACGTGTACAACATAATTCTCTCTCTCTCTCTCTCTCTCTCTCTCTCTTTCTCTCTTTTGTTTAAATACCTTTCGCGATTATGGGTATTATTTGTTTTTTGCAATTTTCTTCTCGTATTTTTTGTTTTTACTCGATTAATTGTTACTTAAAGTTAATGTTTTTTAATTATTATTATTATTATTATTATTATTCTTCACACCCTTTCTCGTTTCTTATATTCGCCATTATATATTTTTTTTTTTTTTTTTTTTTTTTTTTTCTTTTTCTGACTTTGGTTAAGAACGTTCTCTTCTTTTTTTTATTTTTTTTTTTGATATTTCGAAATTCAAGTTTGGTTAAAAAAAAAAATACACACACAAAATTGTTTGTCTCAGAGATCCGGATCATTTTGTCGTTTATATTGTTCTTGAATTTCAAAATATGGTCGTATTAATATAAATTAATAATTAAACAAAAAAATATTCTATTCGTACGAAGTCTTTTATTTGTTTGTTATTTCTTTCTTTCTTTCTTTCTTAAGAGACAAAAGTAGATTTGAGAGAGGAGTATTTTTTCAAAGTGTAGAGGAGTTTCGTGTATTCAATATGTTCGCGTATTATTTGCGTGTGTGTGTGTGTGTTCTTGTGTATATTCGCGTTAATTTGTTTATAAAAAGAAAAAAAAAGAAAAACGAGAAAAAATTGAATAAGAATACAAGAAACATTTCCAATTTTTTAATTGAATTTTATATATTTTGTTGTTTGTTTAAATTTGTTTTTCTTCATGAACTCAACCCTCTACTCCTCCCCGAAGGGGTATTTGTTTTTTATTTATTTATTTCAGCCTTTCAATTAGTCGTAAGATCATTTTTTTTTTCACTTTTTAATTATCATTTTATTATTATTATTATTATTTTTTTTTTATTTCTTTTTATTTTCGTT